CTGCAAGCAGGACTAGGTCATCGGCATAGGCTAGAGCCGAGACTCGCTCCATCTCCAGCCTATAGCCTACCTCTTTCGGTAGAGCAGCAAGAATTACGTCCATCGCCATGTTGAACAGGATGGGCGACAACGGGTCTCCCTGACGCACACCTCGGCCCAATCTAACAGGTTCACCCGACTGCCCGCCGACGTCCAACTTGGTGGTCGCCGCGTCGTACAGCCGGTGGATGTAATCACAGAATGCCACGGGCAACCCTCGAGCCCGAAGAAGCCCGACCAGCGCTCTATGAGACACTGTGTCGAACGCCTTCGCGAAATCGAGAATAGCCACATGACACTCTCTTAACTTTTTCCTGCTATCCCCTAGCACCGCGTCCAGCACGGCGGAATTCTCCAACGTGCCGTCGGCGCGGACGAATCCACGCTGTCGTGCATCGGGGGGGCAGCAATCCAGAAGCCTTCTCGCCAGGATCGAGTGCATGTGCCTAAGCGGTATCGAGGCGATCGAAATCGGTCGATAGTCGCCCGGCCCAGCAGGATCATCCATCTTCGGCACGAAGACCGTCCGGCATTGCCGCAGGGGCTCTGGTATTACGCCAGTGGTCAACCAAGAGTTGAAAATTTCCGCTTTTCGGGCCGCAGGAACTAGGCGCCACTCATCCGGACGGATACCGTCCGGACCAGGCGCTGTCTGCCAGTCAAACTTGGACGCCTTCACTTCGTCGGTCGTGAAAGGCATCCACAGCCGAGAGTAATCGCGTGCGCCCCCATACTGCTCCTCCCGCCGTAAGGCGTTTAGAGCAGACGGTGTAGGCCCTGAGGCATCAGACACCCTCTCTAGGACCGGTCGCCAATAGGCTTCCAAATCTTCGAGAGAGTGCCGGACGCTCCTGTGCACTCCATCGATCACCTCGGCTGCTGCTCGACTGCGACACTTCTGGAATAGTTCCTGTACCCTGGCGTACTCTATTCTCCTCCTCTTGCGGCTCGACAAACCGGCCAGTGCGGTGTCGGCCCGAGTCACGTTCGGTATGCGGTGCCGCCTCGCACTACGGGAACCCAGGCCGTGTCGCGACCTCCTCACCGCGGCCCTCGCTAGAAGATCCGCGACAATTTGGTCTGCACACGTGTTATCTGGGGCACCACCTAAGTGCGGTGATGGATCATCGGCGACAGGCGGTGCGTCTTCAGCTGGCAGAGGCTGGACCGGCATCTCGACACTTTCAGATTCCGGCCGTGTCGAACCCCTGTTCTCTGGCGCTTGGCTGCTTATTGGTGGGGATCTGTACTCTTCCCGGCACGCTTGTACCAGGATCTTATACTCCCCACAGCGCCTCTTTCCTTTGATTGCCTCTAGGGTCCGCTCGGACCCCGACAGGCTTTTGTACAGGTCTGCGTTCGTACATCGTCCGGTCTCCTCCAGTAATCGCGCCTCTGTACGCGCCATCAATGCCAGCTCCTCATCGCGCCACCTGCGCTTCACCATATTTGGAGCGGCCTCCGCATTTGCTACTTCGGGGTGGGCCCTACGCTTGTGGACCCCTAACCCCGTTTTGGTGGTGAACGCACGTCCACACACCGGACAAGTCCAGTCAATGACCGCGGAAACTGTGGCCGGAGCCCCAGCTTGAGCGGCCGAAGATTGGGCCAAGCTCCCCGGCTCCTGTGGGAGGCCAGGGTGGCAAAATAAATCATTTTCATTCCTTACTTTGTCCATTGCTTGTGTTTGTGCCCAATGTGGCCGGGGTGCAAGCCCAGCCACCTGGTTCGCCTACCGCATCTCGTATTGTCCCGACCGAAGTCAGCGGTTCGACTTGGCGACATATTGCCACCCGATGGGACTATTCAGGAATCTCACCCGAACCTAGCCCGGATTACGCCCCATGATCTAGGACGCTGCGCATACTAGACGAATCTAGCAAACCCGGTTCACAAGCCTGACTAAAGTCTCCCGTCCGACTGCCAACAACACGACTGAAAGCCGCGAAGAGACAGCCGAACGGGAGACTATAGTGGAAACGCGCTGGGCCTCGCAGAATTAGGAATGTGCCAACGAGGCATAAGAGAGTCATAGTTACTCCCGCCGTTTACCCGCGCTTGCTTGAATTTCTTCACGTTGACATTCAGAGCACTGGGCAGAAATCACATTGCGTCAACACCCGCGAGGGCCATCGCAATGCTTTGTTTTAATTAGACAGTCGGATTCCCCTTGTCCGTGCCAGTTCTGAGCTGACCGTTGAACGGCGGTCGTACAGGCGCGCGCCGATCGCGCACGAAACGAAACCGACGCGACCTTACGGCTAGGAAGATCCGCGGAAGGCCGGAACGCGGGTCCGGATTCAGCCCGCACGCCCCGAGAGACGCACGAGCATCGACCAGGCCCGGCACCGGCCGCATCCGCTTCCCGTCCAAACCCGACACGCCCCGGTCCTCAGAGCCAATCCTTATTCCGAAGTTACGGATCCAATTTGCCGACTTCCCTTACCTACATTATTCTATCGACTAGAGGCTCTTCACCTTGGAGACCTGCTGCGGATATGGGTACGAACCGGCGCGACATCTCCACGTACATCCCTCACCTGAATTTTCAAGGTCCGCAGAGAGTATCCGGACACCGCCGCAAATGCGGTGCTCTTCGCGTTCCGAACCATATCTCCCTTCTATAGGATTCCATGGAACTCGAACGCTCAGGCAGAAAAGAAAACTCTTCCCGGACCCCTCGGCGGCGTCTTCAGGCCACTTTGGGTTACCCCGTCGAACACTCGCTTTGAAACGAGGGAACGATTATTGAAACGGTTCCGCTGCCGGGTTCCGGAATAGGAACCGGATTCCCTTTCGCTCAAAGGGCGTTATTTATCATCTAAAATTATTAAAATTAGAAAGAAAAAACACGCCACATCGACATAAGATCTCTCCTTGAGCTTAGGATCGACTGACTCGCGAGCAACTACTGTTCACGCGAAACCCTTCTCCACGTCAGTCCTCCAGGGCCTCGCTGGAGTATTTGCTACTACCACCAAGATCTGCACCGACGGAGGCTCCAGGCGGGCTCACGCCCAGACCCTTCTGCGCTCTCCGCCGCGCACGTCCTACTCGTTACGGCGTAATGACGACATGTGTGGTTAACACGTCGCACTTGCCCGTAACGGTAGTGTATAGGCAAAACGCTTCAGCGCCATCCATTTTCAGGGCTGGTTGCTTCGGCAGGTGAGTCGTTGCACACTCCTTAGCGGATTCCGACTTCCATGGCCACCGTCCTGCTGTCATGAGCGACCAACGCCTTTCATGGTGTCCCATGAGCGTTTTTTAGGCGCCTTAACACTACGTTTGGTTCATCCCACAGCACCAGTTCTGCTTACCAAAATTGGCCCACTTGGCACCGTCATCAGATCTCCGGCTTCATCGTTCGAGTAAGCCGGAGTTCTCACCCATTTAAAGTTTGAGAATAGGTTGAGGTCGTTTCGGCCCCAATGCCTCTAATCATTCGCTTTACCGGATGAGACTGTTCGTCATCGACGCCAGCTATCCTGAGGGAAACTTCGGACGGAACCAGCTACTAGATGGTTCGATTAGTCTTTCGCCCCTATACCCAGTTCCGACGATCGATTTGCACGTCAGAATCGCTACGGTCCTCCATCAGGGTTTCCCCTGACTTCGACCTGACCAGGCATAGTTCACCATCTTTCGGGTCCCAGCATCTCTGCTCAGAGCGCGCCTACATTCACGGATTGGAAACGAGACGCCTCGGGAGTGCGAGAGGTCGATCGAGACCGACGCTCCATCCTCCCTGAGCGCGCGACAAGCGCACGCCTTCACTTTCGTTGCGCCTTTCAGTTTATACGTAACTCAATGACTCGCACACATGCTAGACTCCTTGGTCCGTGTTTCAAGACGGGTCCTGCGAGTGCCCGAAACTGAATCATCGCCGACTGAGACGCGCACGGTCCGAGACTGCACGGCGGCGACAACAGACGCGCCGCACCGATGTCCGCACAACGGCAGGACCTCGATTACGACGTTGTCTTGCGTCGGGCCGGACGCGCTTTGTATAAGGTGCGCGTGCGCGATTCGTGTCTTCTACCGTCCGACGGCCGGTCGGCCACCGTCACGGTCCAGCCGTCCGTTTTGAAGGGTCGACTGGGCTCCCGGACGGCGCTTAGGCCGACGTCGAACGGGTCGCGATGTATTACTGAGAGAGAAGTGCACGACGTCCGCGGACGTCGACACACCCGGCCCGTGACGCCCGAAGACCCGATTAAGGGACACGAACGTCATCAGAGCGCGAGCGCGTACGCCGCGGAATGACGATGAATCTCTCCGTTCGTTCATTCGAGTTTCGCAGGTTTACCCCTGAACGGTTTCACGTACTCTTGAACTCTCTCTTCAAAGTTCTTTTCAACTTTCCCTCACGGTACTTGTTCGCTATCGGTCTCGCGGTAATATTTAGCCTTAGATGGAGTTTACCACCCACTTAGGGCTGCACTCTCAAGCAACCCGACTCTTAGGAGAGTCCCTCTCGCCGCCGCCCTCCGTCGCTACGGGCCTGGCACCCTCTACGGGAAAACGGCCCCGTTCAAGACGAACTTGGACAGGAGTATCGACGACGAGAAAGCGGAACCTCCCGAACACCACATCTCCCGCGTTCGAGACGATCGCGGGATTCAGTGCTGGGCTCATTCCTGTTCGCTCGCCGCTACTAAGGAAATCCTTGTTAGTTTCTTTTCCTCCGCTTACTAATATGCTTAAATTCGGCGGGTGATCCTCCCTGATCTGAGGCCAACGATAAAAATCGAGGCAGACACGATATCCGTCAGCGCAACGACGACAGTACGACACCGTTAACGAAACGACGTCGCAGTCGTCGAGGCGCTCTTCGGACGTCGAGTCCGCCTACTTTTGGTTGTTGTGTATGTCGTGTATCTAACATATATTTTCAAAACAAATCAATCGCACACCACACAACACGTGCCGAACGAAGTCACCGCACGAATATCGCGCAT